TGTGTGGATCATGACATGTTGTGGCTGACATTGAGAAGAATGAAAATGTCAGAGCACTTATTTGTGCTCATGGGGAACCTACACCTCATTCAGAAGGCTATTGTGCAAACAGAGTAGAGGAGCACTGCATGGTTTAGAATTGGGAAGGGAGTGTGCCAGGGTTGTATTCTCTCTCCATACCTATTCAACCTGTATGCTGAGCAAATTATCCAAGAAGCTGGAGTCTGAGGAGTGTGGCATTAAAATTGGTGGGAGACTCATCAATAACCTGAGTTATGCATATGACACAACATTGCTTGCTGAAAGTGAGAAGGACTTGAAACACTTATTGCAGAAGATCAAGGAATAGAACTTTTAGTATGGGTTATATCTCAATGTCAGTAATAAAAAAATTCTTACTAAAAAAATTCTTACAGTGGACCAATAGGCACTGTCATGATGGATGGAGAGGAAATTGAAACTCAACTTTATTTTGCTTGGATCCACAATTAACACTCTTAGTATGAGCAGTCAGGAAATAAGGAGATGCATTGCACTGGAAAAATATGCAGTTACAGACCTTACCAAATATTGAGGAGTAGTGATGTTACTTTGAAGAGTAAGGTGCATCTGACTCGGGTCATAATCTTTCCAATTACTAGCTATGCATCTGAGAGTGGAATAATGAATAAGGATGACAGAGTAAGAATTGACACCTTTGAGCTGTGATGTTGGAGAAGAGCACTAAACATTCCATGGATGGCCAAGGAAATGAATAGTTAGTCTTAGAGAGGGTGCAGCCAGAGTGCTCTTTGGAGTCAAGAAAGATGAGGCTTCACCTCACACACTTTGGATATATTGCTAAGAGGTGCTATTCCTTGGAGAGGGATATGATGCTGGGAAAGGTGGAGGGTCAGGAAAGGAGAGGAAGACCCTCAACCAGGTGGATTGACACGATGACTGCTGTAGTGGACCATTGTATGTCAGGAAGTGTGAAGATGGTACTGGATAGAAGAGGGTTCAGATATTTTGTTCATAAGGTCGGTATGAGTTGTGCTCAACTTGATGGAACACACAACAACAACAACATTCCTTCTTCACTGTTTCCAGCTTGCATTCCAGTCACCAACTAGTCTTGATGGCATGTTTGGTTAATTTTGGACTGCAAGATTTGGTAAAAATTTCAATTTCTTCCTCTTTGGCTCTAGAGTAAGAACTGTATATTTGATTAATAGTTTTAATAACAAGTCTTCCTTGTATGCATATAGATAATATCACTCACAACATTGAATTTTAAGATAGAACTTGAAATTGACTTTTTGCCCATTATTAATTTGACACTATTCTTCGTCTGGGTTTCATTCCCAGTATAGTATACCATTTGATTATCTGATTCAAAGTAGCCAAAACTAGTCCATCTTATTTCATTAATACCTAGAACATCAGTGTTCATGTGTCCTATTTCATTGTTGACAATTTTCAGTTTTCCAAGCTTCAAGCTACATACAATCCATTTTCCAATTATTAAAGGACTTTGGCCACTATTTTTCCTATTTTCAATTGACTTCCAAACTGAGCTTTACCACTTCATAACTCAATGCAGGATCAGCAGGTGCTGAAAATTCAAAGAGTGATGGGGCTTGGCTGGGTGCGTAGGACAGAGGTCTTGGCTGGTACACCTACAGCTCCTCTGCTGGTTTCCACGTCAACTATTTTCTTCCTTCTCCTAAGTGTAGCAAATTACAGCACAGGAGGTAAATTAGTCTCTTGAGTCAGGCTGGATGGATCCCCTTCTGTTATCATCCTTGTGTCATCTTGGGGAAATCACCTAACCTCTCTGAGTGCAGAGAATTTCTTTAATTTACCAGGCTTTGGATTAAATGCAATACTGAGTATAAGGCCATAACTTTCCCAAGACTCTGGCCCTGTGGAAAATGCTTTGGGAAAACTAATTACCATTGTTATTCCAGTATTCTTAGTTGGGTTGATGAGAAGGCAGGAATGCTTACTCACTGGGAAGTTCCAGAGATCGACCATCCTATAAATACCATAAAAGGTGCTCAGAGGAAAACAGGGTGATGGTCTTCTTGATTTAATTAACAATCAGTTTTGGACCAAGACCTTCTTGTTTAAACAAATTAGGATTCAATGGGTAGGCCTTTGTGATTAAAAGTTGGTTGGGCCTGAGTGCCTATTACTGCAGGCCAGAGGGTTTATTGTGAATACTGATTTACTATTAGAATTACAAACTAAATTGTTAAGTTTGTTATGTTTGACAAGAACATTGTTCCAGTTGATACAGTACTTGTCTGTCAGTTTGCTGTACAGAGATAACTTGTGGGTTGCTGTGATACTGAAACTACACCACTGGTGTGTGGGTTACCTGTGGTGGACAGGTTTTAGTAGAGCTCCCAGATTAAGACAGACTGGAAAGCAGGATTGGCTATTCACTTTTTAAATAACAGGCCTTTGAAAACCCTATGAACAGTAGAGTTGTTGTTGTTGAATGCCTTCGAGTTGAGCATGACTCATAGTGACCCTATGAACAAAAGGCCTTAAGGCTTTCCATAACTATTAACATTTATAAAAGTTCATAGAGTTTTCAAGAGGCATGTTGTTTAGGAAGTGAGTGGATGCCACTCCTGCTCTGCTTCCAAATGAACAGTAGAGAGCTCCCTATAAAACCACTTAATTTAGAATCACATCAATTCCTTAAGATTTTCTTTCTATTTCTAATCTTTTTTATTTTAATTCCTGATGCTACTTTTTTAAGTTCTTTCCAAATTCTCAGGTCCCTTTTTGAGATCCTGACAGACAAACTGCTACTGTGATTAGGGGTGCCAATGGGTCTGATTGTGCTGCTGGTGCAGGACCGGGCAGTTTTTCCTTCTGTTTGCATAGTGTTACCATGAATCAGAGCTGACCTGACAACACCTAACAACAACAACAACAACAACATCAACATATCTGACATCTGTCAAATCTGTGGTTTGTTCCATATAATCAAAAAAAACCAGCTACATGTTCTACTTTTCTCTCTGTTTGCTTTGTGATCTACAGATGGTTTGAGGACACATTGGTGTGCACTATTTTCCTATTCACGTTCTACTGAAAAACCATCATCTTAATTCTTTCCAATTTACCTTCAAACTGCAAAGCAGCAAGATGTTCTTCCTTTATCTTGAGTTTCAGCTCATTTTTCCTTTGCATCTCAGCGATTTCCTCTGGGGTGGCTAGTACAGGTGATGATTCTGCTACAGGTGGTGATTTACCTGAAAGGGCAACAAACATGCTGAGCAAACGAGCAAACACATACATGCTCACACACACAACACTTGGACAAAATGAATATGGAGCTTATTGCTGTTGTTGGTAGGTGCTGTCAAGTAAACACAATTCATAGCAACCATATAAAACTTGTCCTATTCAGTGCCATCCTCATCTCTGACACACATCATCACATTGCTGCAGCCATTAATGCCATTGAGGGTCTTCCTCTCTTTTATTGACCCTCTACCTTTCCAAGGGGATGCACAAGGACTTGACTCTCCCAATGATGCGCCCAAAGTATGTGAAAGGAAGCATCGCCAACTTTGTCTATAAAGAGCACTCTTCTGGCTGCACTTTCCTCTAGGGTTTTAGAAACCCGTAAGTGATGTAATCTTGATAGTTATAACTAGCTTGAGCTCCTCCTTCTGGTGTCTATGTTGGACTCATTTATTTTTTTTAAATCCCATTTGTACAATTCCGTGGAGGCATGAGTTATGCAGTAAGTACAGAAATGGAGATGCAATTAGCCAGAAGATGACTTGATTTCCAGATTGTCACTGAGAAAAGGTGATCCTCTGTTGGATTTTGAAGGCTGTGAATCTTTACAGGAGATTACCTCATCCTTTTTCTGACAAGTGTCTGGGAGATTCGAATACTAATCTTTTGATTAGTAAAGAAACATACACGGCATAACAATCTCAGAAAGATGTGGCAGAAAATAGCAACCTAAAATCCATGTAATTATGGCTAATTAGTGCTTAATTATAAAAGGGATCTCTGGTGACTGAGTGATAAGAAGCTGCCCTGACAACCCAAAGGCAAGTAGTTCAAATTCATTAGCTGCTCTAATCCACTAGCTTCTCCTTGGGAGAAAAATTGGCAGCCTCTTTCAATATGATTCACTGCTTTTGAAAACTTGCTGGAGATTCAGCAATGAGTTGGTTCTGAGTTGGCGACACAACAACAATAACAAGGTTTAAATATAAACATAAAAATTTTAGTGATTGTACAAGATAAGTAGAAAACAAGGATTTGTAAATATATGTCTAAAGATGTAGACTGGGAGACAGCAGTGTAATGTTAGTTGTGAGTGCTAATTTATATAATTCCGCCTAGTTAAACAGCCTACAGCACATGGTATTCCCAGGCCCAACCCTGGTTAGTTTCCATGGTCAGATGTGTTCAGTATGTGATGGCCAGGAAATTTGGAGGACAGTTGTCTGGCCAATGGTTTGGGAAAGGTACGTATTTGTTCCAGTTCCTAAGAAAGGTGATCCAACAGAACGTGGAAAGTATGTAAGCAATTTCATTAATGCCGCATACAAGGAAAACACTGACGATGATCATTCAAAAATGGATGGAATAGTACATAGAGAGGAAACTGCCAGAAGTTCAAACAAGATTTAGAAGCAGCCGTGGCACCAGGGATATCATTGCTGATGTCAGATGCATTCTGGCTGAAAGTAAAGAATACCAGAAGAATGCCTATCTATGCTTCATTGACTATGAAAAGCATTTGACTGTGTGGATCACAATAAGTATGGCTAACATTGAGAAAAATGGGAATCCCAGAGTACTTAATTGTGTTTATCTGAAACCTACACTTGGACCAAGAGGCTGTTTTGAGAAGAGCACAGGGGAACACTGTATGGTTTAAAAGGAAGAAGAGTGCATCAGGGTTGTTTTCTGTCTCCATTCCTATTCAATCTGTATGCTGAGCAAATTATTTGAGAATATGGACTCTATGAAGAAGGATGTGGCATCAAGATCAGAGGAAGACTAATCAATAATCTATTATACAGATGAGAAAATATTGCTTGCTGAAAGTGAGGAGAACTTGAAGCACTTGTAGAGTGCTTAGAGAAATATAGCCCTCAATATAGATTGTATCTCAGTATCAAGAAAACAAAGATTCTTACCACTGGATCAATAGGCATCATCCTGATAAATGGAGAAAAGAATGATACTGTCAACAACTTCATCTTACTCGGAACCACAATCAACACCCTTACCAGAAGTCAGGAAATCAGCAGTTGGATTGCACTGGTAAAACCTGCAATCAGGAACCTTTCCAATTTATGACAGCAATGACGACAGTTTGAGTACTACGGTGTGTCTGATTCAGACCATGGTTTTTCTGATCACTTGCTATGAATCTAAGAGCTGGAAAATAAATAAGGATGACAGAAGAATAATTGACACCTTTGAGCCATGGTATTGGAGAAGAGTACAGAACATCCCATGGACTGCCAAAAGAACAACTCACTATGTCTTTGAGAAAGTATAGCCAGAGTGTTCTTTGGAGGCAAAGATGATAAAGCTTCACTTTATACACTTTGAACCTGCGATTGGAGAGGGTATTCCTTGGGGAGGGACATGTTTCTTGGAGGGTCAGCAAAGGAGAGGAAGACCTTCAACTAGGTAGATTGACCCAGTGACTACTGCAATGGGCTCAAGTGTTTCAGGAAGTGTGAAGATGGCATAGGATAACAGGGTTCAGATCTATTTTTCATAGGGTAGCTATGGATTGTACTCCACTTAATGGAACCTAACAACAACAACTTCATTAAAAAATTCTTTAGCATCTGGCTTCAGTGTATTTATTACCTTCTGGAGAAATTAATGTAAACAAAGGAATTGTGATAGATATATTATTCGAAATCATTAACGTATGTACATGTTATAGAGGAAAGAGTTTAATTTATCTGGATTTATGTTTTATCAACTGTAAAATTAAGGAATTGCTTCTGACTAGTTATTTCACAGGGAGTTTTGATGGCTTTGTGTTAAGGACTTGTGCTGCCAACCCAAAGACATGCATTTGGAATTCACCAGCTGCTGTGCAGAAGGAAGAGGGGCAGTCACCTCCCATGCAATTTACTGCCTCTGAAAACCTATTGAAGGGCCAGCTAGGAGTTAGTTCTGCCTCAACAAGACTTATCAACAAGAAGTTATTCTACTAAAGTAGACTGAAGCGTTTCCCTCCAACGTACTTATTTTCTTTGTTGTTATCCTCTGAGATAGACTGAAGAGGCACATTCTTTACTGATGTTCTACTCTTCTTTCAAGTGTTACTAAATCTCATGTTTTCTGCCATGTTTTAGTGCTCTGTTTTGCCAGCTCCTATGAGTATTACTTTGTTACTTCTACATACTCTACATGGGAAGCATTTCCCTGTGCTTTCAAATAGAAGACGACGTTGCCTCCAAAATACCTGTAACTTCCTTATCAAAGAACAAGAATTATTGAGCATTTGGCCCTGCAGCTAGATAAATGAATAGAAACTGTGTTAGCTATTTTTGTTTGGCAAGAAGCCGCACTGCAATCCCTAAACCATGCAGTTTGAGGCCACCAGATGTTCCATGGGACAAGGATGGCCAATCTCCTCCTATGCAATTAACAGCCTCTGAAAACCTGCCGGAAGGTCAGTTATGGGTCAGTTCTGACTCTATGGTACTCAACAACAACAATAACAATAAGAAGTTGGTTTTTAGGTAGAAATAGTCCTGGGGTGGTGTAAATGCCTAGACTGTTAAGTGAAAGCGTAGAAGTTCAAGTCCACTCAGGTGAAATTAATGGGTGAAAAATAATTTCTGAAAAAAATCAGTCATTGAAAGCCCTATAAAACACATTTCTACTCGGACATGGGTCACAATAAACTCTTGGAATGGACTTGTGGGCCATTGATGATGATGTAATTGGCATCTATAGGGGTAGCTCACATAGCTGACTCCTTATGAACATGCACAATTGATTAATAGAAGTCTTTTCCTCTATCGTGCCTCAGGCCACTTGTAAAACGTAAACATTCAGAAGGGAGTGGAATTCTTATGATTGAATTGTTTTAAGATTAACAGGAGGTCTCCTCTAACCTGAGTTTTCTTTTTACTTTATATTCTATGATGGCCTGCAGGCAAAGATTTAGGTGGGATGCCTCTCAGAGAAGGGAGTACAAAAGTACAAGCAATTGGCTTTTAAACTTCTCTGGTATATTAAAGCAAGTTAAGGCATCTCCTTACCGTACAATCTTCCAGTTTATATAGTCTCACTTTTGTTGTTCTTTGTACCATAGAGTCATAACTGGCCCACAGCTGACCTGCCGGATGGGTTTTCAGAGGCGGTTAATCTCATGGGAGGAGATTGCCCATCCTTCTCCTGCGGAGCTGCTGGTGGCCTCGAACCACGTGCCTTCAAGATTGCAGCACAGCTTCTTGCCACTAAACCGTCTGAACTCTGGAGTCTCACATTAGCAGTTCCCCTCTGTGATTTGCTACCTTCGAAAACACACTATGATCAGCTATGAGTTAGTTGTGACGCGAGGACCTGCAACAACAAACAACATACTGTCTTTGAGGATTATTCCACCTAAATACTCTGGATATTTGGATAAATAAATTGGATGGCATTGACATACAATGTAATTTTCTAACTAACACCCACAGGCTTACAGAAACCTGAGTCCTTTTAAGCCAGGACTTTGAATGGATTTGAGCTAGTTCAATCACGGTCTATACAGTAACACTAGAACAGATTCAAATGTGTAGAATGTGATTATTCTGCACCAATAAAGGAAATGGGGGAAATGGCACATGGAAGCCAAGGAGAAGCATTGAGATCTCTTCTGGGTGCCTGCTATGAGTTCTGGACTGCTGCCAGGACTGTGAAGCATGCCACACATTCAAAGGACATCCTTAGCCACCATCTTTGAGCAGGGCATTATCACTTCTGACTCTGCCTGTCAAGAGATTTGGTTGCTATGCAATAGACATAGTGGTCTTTGGATTAAGTGTCCAAGAGGCCATCAATCCGTAATTTTTCTCTTTCTAGTAATTCACATTTTATAAAACTAAGAGCAAGGGAACACTGCATAGTTCAAAATTGGGAAGGGCGTATGCCAGGGATGCGTCCTAACTCCATACCTTTTCAACCTGTATGCAGAACAGATCATCCAGGAGGCTAGGCTCTATGAGGAGAAATGTGGGGTCAAGATTGGTGGAAGATCTATCAACAATCTGCGTTATGCCGATGACACAACCCCGCTTGCTGAAACTGAGGAGGACCTCATGCACTTGCTGCAGAAGGTCAAGGACTGCAGTCCCCAATATGGATTGAGGCTCAATGTCAAGAAGACAAAGATTCTCACCACTGGACCAATTGGCAGCATCAGGATGGATGGTGAAGAGATTGAGATTGTACACAGCTTTAGTTTGCTTGGCTCCACAGTCAACACTCTTGGCACCAGTAGCCAGGAACTTAAAAGGCATATTGCCATGGGAAAGTCTGCTGTTAGGGACCTCTCCAGAGTACTGAAGAGCAATGATGTCTCTCTGGAAACTAAGGTGTGTCTGATACAGGCCATGGTCTTTGCAATCACTTGATATGCATCAGAGATTTGGACAATGACCAAGGAGGATAGAAGGATAATTGATGTCTTTTGAGCTGTGGTGCTGGAGAAGAGTATTGAGAGTACCATGGACTGCTAGGAAAACAAATAGATTCATGCTGGAGAGGGTTAAACTGGGTGGCTCCTTGGAGGCAAGGATTCTGAGGCTCCATCTAATATACTTTGGACATGTTGTAAGGAGAGACCGGTCCTTGGAGAAGGACATCATGCTTCGGAGGAGGGAGGGATGGCGCAGGAGGGGAAGACCCTCTATGAGGTGGATTGATTCAGTGACTGGGATAATCGGGATGGGAGTGTCAGAGACAGTGCGATTGGCACAGGACAGAGCAGAGTTTAGGGCTGTTGTACATAGGGTCGCTATGAGTTGCAGGCGAATTGACAGCACATAACAAGTCCATTCCCTGATTTCAAATCTAATAAACCATATTCTAGTGGCATAGGGATCCATATACTTGACTAAGTGTTTTCTACCAAGAAGAGCTTAAAACATCCAGAGTTGTGGATGCCAAAATCAGGAATACCTTTAGCCTTTTTCTCTGCTTTTTGCTTCTTGGGCTCCTTTTTGGCTTTTTTGTTGACACCAGCCTGAGTAGGTTTGTCTCTTAGATCTACTGGCTGCATTTCTTTTTCTTCCTCCATGACTCTCTGGTGAACTTCAGCAGCTACCTGGTTATGTAATAGCAAAATATCAATTAGTGTAGCATTTATGAGATAAGATAGCCATTTGAGTTTATCATCACCAGATCTCATTGAAATTTCATTCCACTGTAAACCTGCCCATGTATTCACTTTCTAACAGAATTCACGCTGTGAGTTTTTAACTTAAATGGAAACCCAACATCAGTTTCCTCACAACCTACTATGTGAAGGCTGCTCACTCTCTCCAACCCTTCCTATAACACACCATTCATTGTACTTCTTTCAGTGTATCATGGCTCCGTGATTAAGTAAACATTCCTGTATTTAAGTCTGTGGACTTACCCTTTATTCTTCTGAGTTCCTGTTATTACTGAGTCTCCAATCATAGGAATTTTGCTAGGTCAGTGTTTCTTAATGTTGGTTGCTGTGGTTTTGTTTTTTTCTTTTGTTTGTTTTTTTAAATTATTTTAAATGATTTTATTTAAATTTTTAATTTAGTTGGAGAAGAGATCTTAACATCCCATGGACAGCCAAGAGAATGAACAGATATGCCTTAGAGAGGCTGCAGTGAAAGTGCTCTTTGGAGGAAAAAATAATGAGGCTTCACCTCACTTACTTTGGGGATATTGCTAGGAGGGGCTATTCCTTGGATAGGGACAGCATACTGGGAAGGGTGGTGGGTCAGCGAAGGAGAAAAAGACCCTTAATTAGGTGGATTGACACAGTGACTGCTGTAATGGGATCTTGTGTGTCAGGAAGTGTAAGGATGGTGCAGGATAGAACAGATCTGTTGTTCAGAGGGTTGCTTTAAGTCATGATTGACTCGATGGCACCTTACAACAGCAACATGGACTTTAGACAATTTCCCCACCTCCTATGAAATTTTAATATAACAGTTACACCATACATTTTACTCCTTATCCATTAACTATATAATCTGACATATCACATTTATGACAACAATAAAATCTGCTATAATTTTATACAAATGCCATATGTCTAGTAATAACTAATGTCAAGGTGTAAGGCAAGAATAATGCTGACTCTGATGATTAAAGTTATGTATCTGTTTGTCTGAGTTATAGCTTAGCTGTTACGTAAAGATTTAATTTGGTAGTTATGTAATGCTATAATTTGGCAGTTACATAATCATCTTCCACTTTGTGTACTGATGTGGTTATTCTCTATTTCATGTCTTTTTTTTTTCTATAATGACCTTGTCTTTGGAACCTAACCATATCGATAAATGAGGAACTATTAGTATATGTTTATATGTTCACAACTGTGCTTCATATATAAAAACATAAAAGTTTTGGGTTATTTCTTTTCTTTCCCCACCAGAACTGACTGCTGAGAATGTATGCTTTATACTGCCTGGGGAGTCTCTAGATGTGTATAAACAGCTAGTCAGTTTTGTTCAATATTTTACTGCACAAATAATGAGGAAATGAGAGCTTATAGGAACTCATATATTGGCATGCTTTCTGTTACCAAATCCAAGGTTAATGATGGGAGAAAAGGATTAGGAGACAGGAGAAGGAAGGTTGTTGGAGGTGAGGAGGGAGATGAAGAAGACAACATCTCAACCCTTAAGAAGAAGCTCACAGTCCTGCAGGTGAAGCACACTAGTCAATCTTGCTTTCTGGAAATTTCTGCCACATTTGCTGCCACTTGGCTCAACCCTTAACCATTTCCAACAGTTCCATTAAAGTTAAGTCTCACCCTACCTTCCAACTGAGATGTGTTCCTCTCCAGAGCTGGACTAGTTCTACGTCTCTGTACTTGTCCTTGCTGTTAGCAATGACAAACAATGCTCATAGAGGATGCCCAGTAAGTGTTTACTGATTGATCAGATGTCTTTCAAAATAATCATATTCTAGTCAATGCACCATCATCTGCTTCAATCTTAGCAGACTCTTGTGGGGAAGGCACAGACAGAAGGTCTTCAGAGAGTAAGCCAGTTTTTAATCAGATGCCTTTTTGATACAAATGGATTTCGTGCTGTCTACTATACATTCAAGTTCTTGGTAAAGCTGGCTTGCTAACATTCGTGGTAAAGCAGACTTGTTAACATTGTCTGCTAAATGTCAAGCAATTCATTTTTTAATCTGTTCTTTGCCAAACACGAGTTGGCAATTTCCTTTAAAATTGGAGCTTTCTATTTTGTAAACAGCTCTGCTGTGGTGACGGTCAGGATGGTAATTATCATCATCTTCATTTTTCTGGGCTCCTTGTCTCTAAGAACGCTGAGTGTCTTTCAAAAAATTAACACATTTCACAGTATGTCCCCAAAACTATCTCCTAACTCTGGAGATAACTTGACATTGTGGGTGTTAAATGTGACTTATTTCTTCCAAATTATTTCATGCCTGCTAATTAGGAGAAGGTCCTGTTAAAATTACAATGGGATGCTAAATGTGTAGCTCTTGGGGAAACTGTTCTGTAGAAGAAAAGTGAGGTTGAAATGCTCTAATTTAAATTGCACTATCTTAGATGGCACTGTTTCCACCCAAATCCCAATTACTGATTTTCTATTATTGTGATTGAGTGACATTTTCCACAGCTAATTGGTTTCATTCTATCATTCATGCACATTTTGTTTTATAATATAAATTACAATATTCACAATATAATCCCACTTTGACTCCTTCCTCCCTGCAATTCTTATCTCTGTTAATCCTTCTGGGCTACCTCTTTCTGCCTTTAATATTTTATCCTTGGGTAAAATGCTGCTTTTTAAAAAAGTTTATTTCATTTAATCATTCATGTACATTTATAACATTAGTTACACTTGATCAATGCCATTTATCACATCACATCAAATCTTCACTCTACTTCCTTTCCTTCGCCCTACCTATCCAGCCACTAATCTCTGCTCACTTCTTTCTCATCTTTTTCAATCCTCCATGTGTGTTTCTGTTTCCTTAGCATTGTGATTTTTTTCAGTCAATCAGTCATGCTATATAGGATGTTATTCTATGGAGGGAATGGGTGACTCTCAAAGGTTATTCTTCACCTTCTAGACCTGCTGTTTGGCTGAAAGTGGAGCCATTGCAGTGAGTTTTGCTCTTGGCTCCATGGGTGACTAAAGGCCATAGTTTCAGAGATTGTATAGGTCTTTTATCAAGCCAGTAAGCCTGTCTTTTTTATGTTTTTGAGTTTTGCTCCACATTTTCCTCAGTCTATCCAGGATCTCCCACCATGATCCCTTTTAAAGTGATCAGCAGTGGCCCTGAAACATCTTAGGAAATCATGTCTGCCTCTTTTGGAACTCAACATTTGTGAAAGTCATGGGACACAAAATCATAAAAATTGATTGTTTTTGTTTTGTGTACCATCTAGTCGGAACCGACCCATAGCTGACTTTGGAGAGTTTTCAAAAGCAGTTAACCACACAGGAGGAGACTGCCCATCCTTTTCATGTGGAGGAGCTGACCTCAAACTGCATGCCTTCGGTATTTGAGTGCAGCTTCTTGCCCCTAGGCCACCAGAGCTGTACAGGATTCATATATAATTATTAGGAATATCATGTAATTGTTGGACTTGACTTCCTGCTATGCTTTCTGTGTGACTTTAAAAAAAAATCTTAAGAAGACTGGGATAATAGCATCTACTTCCTAAATAACATGCCTCCAGAAACTCTATGAACTTTTATAAATGTCGACAGTTGCAGAGGGGCTTCAGGCCTTTTGTTCATAGGGTTGCGATGAGTCGTGTTTGACACGAATGCAATCAACAAGAATACTTAAAATTTAAAAACCATTCTCATATGTTGTTGCTGTTGTTATGTGCCATCGAGTCACCTGCAACTCATAGTGACCCTATGTACAACAGCCCTAAATCCTGCTCTATCCTGTGCCATTCTTATTGTCTCTGACACACCTAACCCTAGTACCTCAGTCACTGAATCAATCTATATCATTGAGGGTCTTCCTTTCCTGTGCTATCTCTCTACCCTCACGCTCTCCAAGACTGGTCCCTCCTTGCAACATGTTCAAAGTATGTCAGACAAAACCTCAGTATTCTTGCCTGACCTAACTGTCTCCAGGACAGTTCTCTTAGCCCTGCATGGTGTATTCAAAACTCTTCTCCAACACACAGCTCAAAGGCATCATTAACTCTCATATAGCTTTTTTATTTGGATTCCTTCACAAAGCAAGTGAGGAAAGAGATACATATTAATGTTGATATAGAAATGAAAGAAGAAATAAAGAAATACAGAAATGAAGATTCAGAAAGCTTAAGTGATTTGTCTACACTCAGCCAAATTAATCAAGATCTGGCACCAGCTAACATTGTGCTGTGTGACATTCTGTTTAATAATATAGTATTTTAAAATGTCACTTTGCTCCAGGTAGTTTTAAATTCAATTGGTAAGATTTGTAGTTTTTCTGGGTAGCATAATCAGTAATAAGAATAACAATTCATCTACTTTGTAGCACTACCAATTTGGTTTCTGTTTTCTAGTTCTTGGCAAAACACATTTAAAAATTCTCAAAATGGATCTTCAAAACAAATATGAAATAATTTCAATAGCTTTATATGAAACAGTGTACATTCTTTGTTTAAAATGTAATTCAGTCAGATATAATTAATAAAAAACACCACATAATAATGAAAACCATTCTCTTTGTAAGCTTTCACTAAAATCACAATAAAATAATAATAACAACAACAAAATTATCATGACTTGAGTCAGGCACAACTTAGTCCTCAAAGTGACTTTCTTGCTGTCTAGAAATTTAATAAGGTCCTTTGGGACAAATTTACTCAGAGTGGTTTATCACTGTATTTCTTTACTGCTGCTTCCATAGGCAAAGGTAAAATGCTTTGCCAGATGCTTTCAAATGGGTGACAAAATTAACGACATACCAGAACTTTTGAGATACAGCAAAAATAAATAATAGAAGGGGTTTTGTCTTTACACGTGAATTTGTTGCTGTTGTTATTGTTAAGTGCTGTTGAGTCATAGATGACTCATAGTAACCCTATGAATGAAAAATCTGAACACTTGTATGCCTTGCATC